TTTTGTTTAACGAGAAGTTATACCGTGTTCGTGGTCTGAGTGGCAAAATCGCTTGTGCTCGTTGAGCGAAACGTTAACATCCGAACTCATACAATTTATAACAACCAAAATGATTATACTACACACCTTCATGAGAGAAAAAAATGTTTGTATGAAATAAACCGAAAAAAAACGATGTTTTTCAATCCAAATTTTCGAAATGTAATAACAAATTTCAGTGATTCCAAAAAAATTGACCTCCAACGTAGAAGTGGGGTTTACTGAAATAGGAAAAACTCTGAGAAGAGTTTTTCTGTTTAAAGTTTAAAATGCTTCTAAAATTTGCATTTTTGTTCACCGGAAGTCACTTTTATTTTGTGTTGAGAGTTAGAATACAGTTACAAAGAAAAGCCTCCCTAAAGTTGTTAGCGAATGATTTTTCTACATTCTGATCAAATCTGAGAATTTTATCACGATTTGTGAATTAGTTATTGATTTTACGAATTGAAGTTGCCAAATTGCTCAGAATTCTGCGGAGAACGTTCTTTGTTCTGCACTTTCGCCGAATCTTTCATTTTTGCGCCTGCAGTGCCGCCACAGTTAGTTTGCTCATGTATGCACAGAATGACCACTGGTGAGTAGCGACCGCTCACGGAACAGTGTTATATCTTTCCCTTTGCCTCACGGCTTTTGTTATCTCATCTTGTCCTTACTGCATACACAAGATTTCAGTCTGCTCCCTATTTCACTTGCCAGTGGGCTGTTATTCCTGAAACCATGCAATCTTCTCTAGAATAAAGGAAGCGCGTTTAGATGGCCGTGCCGTTTCTTTGCCAACTGCGGTCATTCAACTAAACGATTTGACCACAGGCACAGGTGGCAGCAGAGCAGAAAGATCGCCAGTCCGCCAAAACGATAACAACAATCTTCACAAAAAACTGAATAACTTTTTAAATGGAAATTTGTTTGGGCATTGGTGTGGTGTGAAGTTAGGACAGACCATACTAATTCCAACCACAAAGTTCGGAAAATTAAAATTTTTGTTACCCGACATGGTATAACTTCTTCTTAAGATAAGAGATCCTAAAAAACATTTGAAGACGAAAAATAGAGGCCTCGGTACAAATTGGAGATAGAGACTGGACAGTAAATGTTTCAGTAATATATAATATGTTTTATGGAGCTATTGTTTCCACTATCTGTACTATCATTGGCCGTGGCTTTGCCTAAATTTCACTTGCATTTTCTTTTGTCTGTTTTCAATTCTTTCTGCAATAAACCCTCAAAAGAAACACGTAGAAAACTACCAGCGTTTTCGTTGTCTCCATTTCGTGCCTAAACATTCTGTTCAGACTTTCAAGGGTTGACTATATGCCCCTTACCTATGCCCTGAAAGATTTTTAGCATTTTAAAATCGATGTGCGAAGCAGGTGCGCGCTCGGTTTTCGTGCCGAAGCTGTCGTCAGAGCCCGCTACCCACGGGTGTTGCGCCAGATTCGCAAATCTTGCTTTCTTCACTCATTTTAGTACTTACTCTTATTTCGCAATATTTATTTCTGAAATATCAGTTGGAATCCTACTTTTGTACTGTACATCTTATCGTTTTCGTTCTTTGCCTGAATGTTTATTACAACCTGAAATGGAATATCGTTTATCGTCTTATTGAAATTACCGCTGTGCCGAGCGTACAGTTGTGGCAAAGATTGGCTCTTCACGCAGTTTGCTACACGATCGGCTACCCGAGTGCCACAAACATACGTGGGACTTTGCTGTCTGTTCACTGCGCCCCTTTGATGTGGAATGGATTTCAACAAGGCACCGTGATATACTTCAGGATGAACGTCGATTTCTCCATGTCGCCTGTGCAACTGATATGAATAAGTTAACAATGGCGAACTGTGAAGGTAGGCAGTTGATACAGCCTGATGGTAGCTCAAATGCTTATTTTAAAATTTTTTTATTTCTATACTGTATTTTGAGTTTTTTTTGCCAGTACAAGTAACATCATGCGAGGGCTATAATGGTCAGTAAATAAAGCTTTTTCTATTATTTTCAGATACTCGGTGATTGTTAAATTGCTCAACTTGTAAACCGCGTGAATCGTGATGCTCGTATGAATTGGACTGTCCGAACCATCACGATGGACAAATGGGCTGAACAGTGCTGAAGTGCTCGGCAGTAACCCGATATCCCATAGTTCTGACAGCACCTCGCTCACAGCTGAGGTTTTATCTGTACGTATTTATGTGTGCATTTATGTGTTTTTCTAATCCGTAAAATTATTTTTTGGAATAAGTTCGAGTTAAAGCATTACCTAAATACACCACATTAAATAAATTATTCACTTTTGCACAAGAACCAGTTCAGTGTTTGAAAGATTTTAACGAATCACATTCAGCGTTCACCGATGCGGACTTGATACAACTATCTCCAAATGCTCTCAACTACCGTCTACGGGCTGTACCAGTCGAAATCGCGGAACATACCAGAGAGAGATACCGAAGCTGAAACGAGACGAGGTGAATTACATATTGGCTATCAATTATTTCGTTACTGATTTTGTGCTTAACTTCTCTGCGGTGCAGCTGGGTAGCTATGCGCTTGAATATTTTATGTGCTTGCTAATTTATTCCGCTGATTTAGGACCGAAAAAGAAAAGCGGTGAAAGAGCAGCTCAGGCGGGATTCAGCAAAGAGGAAACATGAGGAAGAAAAAAAGATGGGCGTGACCGGTGAGCAACAAAAAATTTAAAATAATAAATTAATAAAAACATGAATTGTGCACATTGTTTTGTTAACAGACAACTTATCGTGGCACGAAAAACTGCTTCTACACCGATCTCCATTAACCAAAGTTAGATACGCTAAGACAGTTATTACTGTGGTCCTGCGAAGACTCAGAACGGATTTGGACGCCATGCAACATCTCTTTATTGCCGTTACTTGTGGCGATACCGAAAAGACTGGTTGTGTCGGCCTCCGTGGCCGCTCCAGTATTCGAGTAATTCGCTTTTTATTTTCATACTTAAATAAAACAGCTTTAAAATAAATAGAATCATTTTTATTAAAAAACATGGCAGAAGGTTGATTGCATTAAGATCTAATTTTTTGCAGATATCTGGGCGGGATATGCCGATTAATCACGCAGTTGTCAGGTCATTCCGAGGACCGAAGTTAAAAAACCTTCTGCCAATGGAAACTTGCTGTTTGGAAGAAGGCGAAATTTGCATCAATCCATACCACTATTACGAAGCCGCACCGGAGCGTTGTCCAAGGATTGACGGTGGAACCCTTTGCGTGGTGTATGGATGCAGCAACCGACCGAACAAATTTGCGGATATTTCGTTTTTTAAAATCCCTAACAAAAGCGAAGACCAGCGCTATCGGGCATTCTTTGCCTTCTGCGACAGAAAAGACCTTGAAAAGACGGGATTTCTGAAACATCACCGCATCTGCAGTCAGCATTTCCGTACAGACGACATTATTTGGACCGGATTAACGCCAAGATTATCTCTGTCAGCTGTGCCTACGGAGCGGCCGGGATCATCAAATCCGACTAAAATTATTCAACCTCCACGGCGGCTGCTGAATCGACTGGCAGAAAATGGGCAACATCAGTTTTTCTCCTCAAAATTTTTCATGAAGTTGAAGAGCGCTGAATGTGATCCCGTAATCAATGAATGTGGATTCACTGTCTTGCAACGCTCTGACAACGACATTCTACTTGGCAAAATTTCTGTTACCGCGTCTACCCCGGAAACCGTTCATCATGATACCGTACTCGTACGAATACTGCCAGATGCAGCACCAGCGTTCTTTATTAACGGTGTTCTGGTTGGTAACGAGTTAAAAGATTATATTGGGAATGAAACAGTATCGAATGAGCGCTCGCTGAAGAAACTTTTGACTTTTCGGATTACGGATAGGAATGCTGTTATTCAACACCAGTGCCTAGTTATCGGAAAGCAGTGTGATGAATTGATGGCAACACTTAGCAACGATCCTGCATGTGCCAACTATGACATTGAGGCGCATAGTGATCCGAATGAAGAAGGCAACGAATCCGACGACACCGAGGTTTTTCTACATAATCAGCAGATATCATCTGTGGCAAAATTCGCGAAAGAGTTAATAGTCTCAGCTTCTAAAAAATCAAAACAGCGACGATATTCCCCCTGGATTAAACGAATGTGTGCTGTGGCAAAAAATCTGTCGGCTGCCTGTTACGACTTTTTTCGTCGTGTGCTTGGCGCTGCGCTTCCTCACAGTCGGACTCTGCGAGATCACACAGCCAGTTATGACATTGATGATGGGGAAGATGTGGAGCACATGAGGAAACTTGGAGAGTTCTGTGAGACTATTCCGGATGCGTATAGGGATGTGAACTTAATATGTGATGTTACGTACCAGACACAGCAGATTGAGTACGTGAATGGACGTGTTACTGGAGTAGCAGAAAATCAGGAAGAAGTGATTCCGGCGAAAAACGTATTAATATTTATTATCCAAAGTATTGTGGGAAACGTGCGGAAAATCGTCTCGTATCATTTTGTGAAAAACCTGAAAGGGAAAGATTTGGCAAAAATCTTACTCCGAAATCTTCGACTGCTAGCAATGTATACAAAGTTTCGGAACAGGGGATTATGTTCGGACCATGGGGCTGAAAATGTCGGCTGCCGCTCTGTCCTCCGCGTTCAGGAAAACGTCTTTCCTTGGAAGTTCCCTCATCCGTACCTCGAAAACGAAATGGTTATTATTATTTTGGATATTAGCCACCTGCTGAAAAGGATATGGGCGAACATTCTGAGAGCTTCCAACAACGGAAAATTATTTGTATGTAGAGTATCACTTCGCATATTTTTATTTTGTGAATTACTAAATTATGCAAATTATGTTAAAATGTATTTTTGTTTCAGTTTGGCGATTGGATTTTTGATATATCCCTCCTCCAAACACTTTTTGATTTAGAGCGCTGCTCGCCGGTGAAATACGCTCCTGATATCACACGAAAACTTTTATGGCCTAATACCTTTGAGAAAATGTCCACCAGAACGGCGGAAGGGGTGAATATTTAAATCGCACATTTATGTATTATTTTAAGTTTCAATTAATCATGGTTGTGCTGTTGTTGTTCTTGCAGTTATTTTCCGACCGTACAGTAGGATGTTTAACGATGTTGGTGTCTCAGACGCCGTTCCACCCACTACTAGTACGAATGGCGGAAGTTCGTGGAGAAGAAGTGACCTCCATAAAGTTCGGGCTTGAAATTATCCTTAATTTTATCCACTATGTGCGAGGATTTTATTATCCTTTAACAACGTCGTCTATACAGCAAGCCCACCGTTTTAAACAACCTCTTTTCGAAGTTATCACTCTTGAAAATATTGATCGGAAATTTGCAGTGGGTTTTTATTTGTACTTTTATATACTGTTTTTATTCGCACTAATTTCTTGGATTAACTTTTACAGGAAATGCTGGATTCGCTTAGCGGAATCGGGCCGCATCCGCAGTGCATCCGCGAATCACTCCCTCGCCAGACATGGACAGGCTTACATGCAACTATACACGGCATAAAAGAAATTTCCAGGGTTGCTCTCGAACGCGGTGCAGAATATATACTGCCAAGAAAGCAGTGCAGCGATGCTATAGAAGCGAGTAGCCTCTTGTCAGAAATTTTACTAGACTTTATGATGTTTGTTATTTTGCAGGAGCTCAATGCGGCTATAAAATTAGGAACAACCAAATTAACTGCAGGAAAAGTGCGCCAAAATATCAGTAATATCGAAGCGTACCAGGAACTGACCGAAAGCCCAAACGTTGGAAGCCGGTTCAAAACAAGGAAAACCATGATATCGATTTCTGACGCTCCCTTCCCAAAGCGCAGGAAAAAATCTAATCATCAACTGCGTGATTACTGCTTTTCTAATTCGGAAGAGTCGAAACTTCTAATAGGATCGGAAGAAATTACCTTAGAAGAAAAAAACATGTTGCTGGAACAGTACGGATAAAGCAGATTTAATGCCTAATATATAATATATTTATGCGATAAATTTTAATGTACCGGTTGATCGTGTATTGCAAATAAAATTTTATTACAACGATTTTTCTCGGTTATTTAGGCTTATTGCAAAAGATAGTCATTTGTGGATCTGCACTGGAATGCTGGATATTATTCACTCTACATGGGAGTCGTTAGGTAAATAATTTTTATAATGGATATTTAACTTTATTGACCTGAAACCTTGTTAGGACACCAAACTGAAAAATGTGATAGAGCGGATATTTTTGGGGATGCCATTGCCGATGCTACGGCAGCGCTGGCTAGAACGGCTGATCGAAATTCAAATTGCGAAATGTGTCGCGGACAACTGGTGGATATTTTCTCGTCATCAAGTGATCTCCCCGGTGCATCGTACATAGGAGCGAGAAGTAGGGCTGAACTTTCTGGACTCTCGCTTCCCAGGAAAGCAACTTTTCTCCTTTGTAAAAGTGCTTATAATTTATTTATGAAAGCGGTGGAATTCCCGGAGTTTATAAAGAGTAAATCGCAACTGGCTGTGATTTTGAAGCTAATGCTCATTAAAATGAGCTTGAGTAATTTTCACCCTCTTTCTGATCTCTGCTCGTGTAACTCATACGTAGAAGTCGAGTACATTCTTTTGCGCAAAACGTTTAATCTTTTGTTGAAGAACTATGTTAAAAATAAGCGTGACGATCTTTTTGATTTGAAATTTGGGAAGAAGCGGCCGGAAAAGATGTCTGAACAACCGGCGAAACTGGCAAAACTGAAGCAAAATAAAATAAAAAAAAACCTGACGAATTATGCGACAAAAAGGGGAAAACTTGAGAATTAAGTGTGATTTATTCTTTTTAATATAGTTAAGCTCGTTTACAAATTTCAATTTTACATCAGATTCCTGAAATTACAAGTAAGACGGTTGCCTGATAAATTTTTTCATGGGTACCGGTATCCGTGGATAATTATTTTTTAATTTCTTGGAATTGTGGATTTTCGGTCCACATTTTCAAATTTATAAATGGCAGTACTGTACTATTTTGATTCCAATTGCGGTTATTTCAGGCTTCATTTTCGATGTAACAAATTGACAATTCGTATGAGGATAAGTTATCTCCACTGCCGTGTTACACTAAAATTTTGCTTGCGCCTTGCGTAAGTAAAATGAATTAAGACTGAGTGCAGTCAAGTGAAAAGCAAGATTTGCGAATCTGGCGCAACACCCGTGGGTAGCGGGCTCTGACGACAGCTTTGGCACGAAAACCGAGCGCGCACCTGCTTCGCACATCGATTTTAAAATGCTAAAAATCTTTCAGGGCATAGGTAAGGGGCATATGTTGACTACTCAAGATTCATCGAATTCGGCCTACCGTTACATCTATGAAGATAAGATAAGCAACTGCTAACGTTTAAGGATTAATAAATTGTAAGTTCAATAAGATACAGTCCTCGATTCCGCTTAAAGTAAGCTGTATCCCGCCAAATACTGTATGTACTTCTACGCAAAAGCAGAGGCTCACCTTTGCTCACTAACGCTACCGAGATGGATCAAGTAAGCAGATACGTCGTTTATCTGATAAATGCAACGCGAACCGTCCCAACTTACGGCTTTGTGTGAATTCATGATTTCGGTGACTTTGTCTTCAGGCCTCATATGTAATGAATGCGCGTTCGCCGGGTGCGATGCCGCCGTTTCAGACGGCAAATCAGGTTTCACAACAGGGTTTCCAATCAAATCAGGTTTCACAACACGGTCGCCGTTTGCCATGGTGGCGACACCTGGTGGCTGGGCTATATCCAGGATATCGGCGGCGACCACGCCTTCACCCACTCCGACTCCGAAATAGCCGAAGCGCGCTGGATACAAGTGCAGGACGTCTGGCAGCTGCCATCCTACTGGGACATTGACCTTTCGTACAGAGGTGTCTTAGAAGAAGACTTCAACGTCTTCTAACGAAGACGTTGAAGTTTTTGCGGCACTGCGTGAGAAAGACAACGGAGCCTTTCGTTTCCGACCAGCCGTTATGCTGCACATGCTGTCTGACTGCTGCGACAGGGATTGTGGGATGCACTGCATCCAAACTCATGCTGCGGATACGGCGTGATTTCAAGTGATCCTAATCTAAACTGGGTTTAAGCCGTTCGGGCCGAGACTGTCTGCCGGACTGCTGCCGATTTCATCTGCGCGTTGAACAAAAAGATTGTATGTTTGTTTCTGCCAGTCTCGCAAGGGACGCGCAACCGACGCAGTGGATGGCAGAAATCCTGCCGAAAATCCTGGAGACACATCTGAACAGCCGTGATGATCTACCGCCGATGGATAACTGGAGGAATCACACAAGAAGAAATATCCCTGGCAAAGCCGTTTAGCAGCTTAAAGTTGGACAACCTTCGTTTAAAACAATATTCTTTCTTTAGATATCCAATTTGGTCGATCGATGCTGACTGCCTGAATTTGCGATTTGACGCCTTTGCTGCTGAGCGACATTTTGTCGCATTTGGACTTGCATTCGCAAATGAAAGCCAAACGGTACGGATACTCGAATAACAACCGGCTCGTGAAGAGTACCGCCGTTTTAATTTTTGATTCGGTTGCGTGTATGCTTGATGTAAGGTGTGTGGCTTATGGCGGCGGTTGTTAAACAACTCTAGGACGAAAGAACACGTCAGCATCTCCTTCGAAAGCTGCTGGCACCTACAACCCGACGGCCATCACTACTTACTGGAAACCGACACCGGCAACTGCTTCGGCCGCTCAATCAAGGCAACAACCATCAGTCTGACGCTCTTGAGAGTCTTTCCAACAAATCACCCTGGGTTTCTGAATCCACTGTTAGATGTCATGGAAACTAAGCTGCGTTTTCTCGTACTCCCTGACCACATTAACGTCGACCCAGTCGGAGTCTTCCAGCAAGAAGAGTTCAAGTTGAAACACGGAGCGGCATACGATATTCAGTACTTGATGCATACTTGCAGCTTCGTCGTGTTGTGCAACTGGGAGATTTTCGCCCTCTTTGGTCCCCAGGTGCACCAGGTCTTTGAGCGTAACAATCATTATAAACCACGTTATGGCAAGGACGTAGTCTTACGTCGCCTGCCAGCGCATGAGCGAGAGTAGATGGTGGATCTATCCGATGAATCGCTCGAACTGGACATCGATAAACTAGAAGTTACCCTCCCGAAGCTGCTTCTGCGCTGCAGCGACGGCGAGATGTGCATCACCAGTTTCTTGATGTGCGCACAAAACAACAACTTCCCGCCTGTCACGCAGAACATGCTAGCAAAGGTCACGACCGTCTACTCAGGCTGGTTGCGCACCTTGGCCTATCCCGAGGACTGGCAGAGCATTCGCAATTACTTTCCAATGTAAGCTTTAGTAATAATAGCTAATAAGCGCACAATCATAAGGTAACGAAAGTGATACTCTTTCTGCTTATAACGCAGCTGAATGATTGCTGATTGATTCGAACGGTAATCGATCACGAACATGTGCATTGTGGCTTATGACAGATTCAGCGGATTTCACCCGGACAGTAGTCCCAAAGTGTGGGACGAGGGCGATCTGCGGGTTGTAGATATCCCGACATGGAGAAAATTGGCCATACACAGGATTGACGAAGTGTTCCGTGTATGAAGCCGTGGAGCTGAATTCACGCCGACCTTGTTCCGGACGATTTTCTTCTTATCATTGCTAAGTCATTCTACCAAATATTCTACCAACCTCATTCTACCAAATATTTTGAATATTTTTGAATATTCTGATATATCATGAAACCACCGAGTTTTAAGTTCGATTTTAACGCTTCTGCGACATGGAAAACTTTTCTACCTGAGTTTAAAAAAGTTATTGAGTTTCTGAGTGATCTGGAGTTCGAAGTCAGATTGTTGGGTGAAAAGAAGAAGGCACTAGAACAGCAGCTGCAGGTTCTCCAAGCTGCCCAGGCCAAAACTGTGGACGTTACACCATCTGTCCCTATCGTTACTGAGAGTACTGTGATGCTAGCTCTCGAAAATGTGGATGTTCTGAACGAAGCCATGGAGAGCCTTCATGAGCGTGTTTATTTGACAGAATGTGGAATTGTCAGCGTAGCGGGTGGATATGAGATGGATGAAGAATTCACCAGTTCGCTCCGCGATAATTTTGGCTTCTCAATTGATGAGCAAGAAGCGCTGAAAAAATCAGGTAAATTATGGAAACCACGGAAAATACCAGCCCCTCGACTCGTTAAAGGTAATCCATCAACATGTCCACCCAAGAACCCCGCGACCCAGGGCACCCCGAGTGGTCCCACACCTGCCTCTAGGACACCATCAGCAAGTAAATCAACAACTGATTCTTACGCTGGAGCTGTGAAACGGCAGCCCCGTATGATTCGTGGCACCATGGCGATCGATGCGACGACTGAAGAACCTCGAAGTGAACTGGTAAGAACGCTGCAGTGTAATCGAAAGCCCCATGCGGATTTTTGTGTCCGTGGTATCCCACGTCTTGGAAACTCGAAGTTTAAGACTGCAAAAGAATACAACGAATTCCTCGCCGCGCAGTTGAATGCAGATGGAATCCAGACACGATTTGTAAGTGTTTTCGTACCGCCGAATGGAGACAAACGAACATCCACTTTTGCCCGTATCGGGACATTTAAGGATATGTCTGAAAAGATTATGGACCCTAAATTCTGGCCATCCAATGTTTTTGTAAGGGAGTGGATATATGTATTGAATGTTGTTGGTGTCGCGCACTGTATACTTAGTTAATAGTATTTGTCGAACTATGCTGTTTTCTCAAGCAGGTGAATGCTTGCTGTGCTGCAAAAAAACTGTTTTGTTGAGGAAATTTTGTCCCGTGTAAATTTTACTGAGCATGTCTGTAAGTCTCGATAAGGAGTGATTCCTTGTATTTACAGACGTTAAACATTAAACCTAAACCTAAACCTAAGGTAATACTTAGAGAAGAGGAATACTAACGGCCGCCAGCATTTAGAAATTCCAGATGTCACGCAATTTTCGCGCTACTCTGGTCACTTAACAATCAGTTCACTATAGGGCAATATCTAGGGTACGAAAAAGATTCATAAATATATAAACTTGGAGTGCACTGGAACATCCTCCTCCTTCTCTCCTAATCAACAGCGACAATATCATAAGAGTCACCCCCGCCAGCGTAAGACTGCAATAAAAGCCAGCGGGAAGCAAACACTTCGAAATTTAGGGCTTCAGTTCTCATGCCGTACTTGTATAGAGCCTCACCTAATGCAACCAGTTTGCTCGGTTTTCTTCATTCGACATCGGTAAACTCCATTCCTTAGCGTTCCAAGTTGAAATAAACACTCTAAACCGGCACCAGTCCCCTGTTGGGCATGGTGGTGCAGCTGGTGCTCATTGTCGACGCGCGTGAAGTAGTAAGTAACTATTTCGATTTCATCGGTGCTCCACTGGTAAAAAGTGACTGAATTGAACGACTATTTCCAGTAACTGAATCGAACGACTATTTCTTAAATTAATGGCCGACAGTGGAATTCTGTACTGGTCATGTTCAGGGCTAGCACTACTGACCTTTAGGCATTGCCCGCATAATATCATTGTTTCGACATCGGAGCTGTCCGAAATCCTGGCACAAATTTCGTCCAGTCTGATGTTTACCAACGATCCATTTGTCGCCCAATGTGCTGCAAATGTTCCGTATTACTATCGTGACGTTCCTCCTGACACAGTTACTTGGACACAGTCTGGCGAGGAGTGAGAAAAGCGTGCCAAGAGTACATTCGTATTAACGAATAAATTCGTTGGGAGAGAAACTATAGTACTACCGCCCCTGCGGAGCAGTAGCCGAGCACGCGAACAGTGATAATTTGACTAAACAAGGCTGGCGGGAAGCCTGGAGCCAAGATATCATTTTTATTGCTACCGCGGTTGAAATTGCGGATCATGGGGGTGCGGAATTAAAAAGCTGCTGGAAAAAGTTTGGAACGGCATCGCTTCGCCACATGCTAGAAACGGACGACAGATTTCTCTACCCTAGGCAGCGGCAATCTCTCCAAATACAACGGGGGAAACGCGCTGTGTGTGATGAGTGCAATCGCTGGCCAGTGCCAGGATAGTTTAAATGAAGGTTTTCAATTAAGAATTTTGTGTCAGTACTCAATCGACTGTACTTACACCGTTACGTGATACTTCTTAAGGTGTTCGAAAACTGCATTTGACATCAGTAACTGTTATAAAAAAAATAATGGTATTCCGGTCCACTAGGAAACTCAGCTACGCATCCACTGTCCATTAACCGCTGTCAAGTTTTGACCGTGGTTCTCAGAATATCACTTTGGTTGTGCTCGCTATGTACTGCTCGTTTATTGCCTTACAGGAGCCCTGAAATTTACTACAGGCTACAACGTTATCTGGACTAACAACATACTAATCAAGAGGAAACGATAATGTAACGATAGAAATTAGAATATACCGCCAGTAGAAGTGTTAATTGCCCTCCTCTACTTTTTATTGGGTGTTGTGTTATGAAGATCCGAATCCTGATTTTCCTACATTTTACCGACTGCATCTCACAGTCAGAAATATCTCAAAATTAGCCTTGCTGCAGCTTGCTTGAACTTGCTCCCGTATCTTACTACGCGCCTTCAGCGCTTCTTGCCCCGTACTTTATGCTCATCAGCCTGCTTCGCTCGCTGAATCTTGCTTTAGTGTACTTTGAACTTGCTAGTAAACCTTGCGATGGCCTTGCGTTACGTTGCTTAACTGCCATGGGATGATCGTGCATCTCCCACCGTTGTCAACTGAATAAAAGGTAGTCAGCTTCCGGTCAGCATCGCGGACGCGTTTCCCACACTAACAACCGACAGATCGTGACTAAGGTGGATTAACCAACCCACTAGAATAGTAGTCAACTTTCTACTGTTGTAATAAACTACCTTGTGGCTCTAGGAAATGGACTTCTCTTTCGTAATG